GCTTCCTCCTCCCTAGTCTTCCCGCAGCAGCGCCGCCCGCCTGGCCCCTCGGGAGTGAGCGCCGAGTGGCTGTTCTCAGGCCCCCGGCTAGTGGGGGTTCTGGGCGGGAGCTCAGAGCTGAGCTGCAGAATCCAACACCACTACCGCCCCCCCTGCCCCAATCCCCTCACCAACCGCAGCCTCCCTCTCCCCGCAGGGACTCCTGCCAGCCCCACCACAGCCCGCCGCACTCACTCGCCCCTGGAACAGCCGGCGGCTCAGCCCCACCACGCGCGGTGCTGTGGGTCAGGGCCCCTCACACTGAGGTGGGACGTCACCCCAAGCCAGCCCCTCCTCCCTCTGGAACCTTCTGTCAGCTGTGGGTAACTGAGCGGTCAGGTCAGGGGCTTGCAAGCCCTAAAGCGCGGGGCTCTTGGAAGGCTCGGAGCGGCCGCTGGGGAGCCCGAAGCCGTGAGCTGCTTTGTGAGGGTGGGGACGGAGGTGAGGCCGGCCTGCTTGAGGCCTCAGTGGCTCTAGCAGCCGAAAGTGGGGACCCCTAGGAGGACAGAGCTCAAAGCCAGCCTCCCCCAGGGCCAGTTTCCAGCGAGGCCTCGGGCTCCAGTCGTGAAATTGTCATGCAAATGTTGCTGTCAACTCTATTACCTACTGAATGGTTTTGACTAGAAAAATGTTTCCGTCACCTCCACTGAGAAAAACTAGGGCCTCGGAGGATGAGGCACAGGTATGTGCCGCTGTGGCCTCCAGGGCCTCGGCATTGACTGTGGCACCGCATGGGCCCGACCCCGACAGGGATCCGGACCTCTGTCCAGAGCCTGCCTTGCGGGCGGGAGGCCACAGCCCAGCAATCCACCCTTCTGGTTCCGGGGGAGGGGCTGGCTGGCGGGAGCCAGGACAGGGACTTCAGATTTTTTTTTTAAATATATGTTTTTAGCCCTAGCCGGTTTGGCTCAGTGGATAGAGTGTCGACCTGCAGACTGAATGGTCCTGGGTTCGATTCTGGTCAAGGGCACATGGCTGGGTTGTGGGACATGCAGGAGGCAGCCAATCAATGATTCTCATCTTTGTGTTTCATCTCTCTCTCCCTCTCCCTTCCTCTCTGAAATCAAGCTCGAAACCCAAGCATGTGCCCTTGACCGGAATCGAACCCAGGACCCTTCAGTCCGCAGGCTGCCGCTCTATCCACTGAGCTAAACCAGCTAGGGCGGGACTTCGGATTTGAAAGTAAACTGTAAGGAGGAGTTAGCTGCCAGAGAAAGGGATTGGGGGCTGAGGCACCCTGAAGTCAGAGGGGGACGTGGGACCTGAGAGTGGGGGTGTGAGTGACAGGATAAGGGGTGCAGAGGCCCTCCCTGTGCACACACTGAGCACAGGTGAGCACACGTGGACACACAGAGCCCGTCCATGTCAAGCTCACAGTCTCGAGCGAGGAGAGGTCGCTACTGGAAAGGAATAAGCCATTCGTTCTAGAACATGGTGGAAGGTCAGGGGTCCGAGGGGACATGTGGGCTGTGACCTGAAGGGCATCGGGCATCGGTGTGGCATCGGGGCAGGAACAGCCCGGGCAGGGGAGCAGCGGGCGGAGCAAAGGCTGGTTTTGCTGCCAGAGAAGATGCAAGGATAAGGCTTAGGTCTCACTTTCTCCTCCTCCCCACCGAGGGATAGAGGTTCCTTAAGCTAATGTTATCCGGAGGGGAGCTATTCCTGTCCTCCCTTTTGTTCCTTTTTGTTGTTGTTAATCCTCATCGGAGGATATTTTTTTCCATTGCTTTTTCAGAGGGAGTGGAAGGAGGGAGGGAGGGATGGGGGGGGGGGGGAGAGAGAGAGAGAGAAAGAGAGAGAGAGAGAAACATTGATGTCTCACTGGTTGCCTCCAGCAACCAGTGCCCTGACCCCTGACCCCTGATCCCTGACCCCTGACCAGGGTTGGGAGTGAACCCACAACTCAGGTACATGCCCTTGGCTGGGAATTGAACCCATGACCCTTTGGTGCACGGGCCATGCTCTAACCATTGAGCAACACCGGCCAGGGCTCCCTTCCGTTCTCAATAGCCTGAGCTGCCTGAGGGGATGAGTACCCACAAAGGTGCCCGGGGGAGGAGGAAGGGGCAGAAGCAGCCAGAGGGGGAGGAAACCATTCCCCCAAGTTGGAAAGGAGACTTTGGGTGGGCGGTTTTCTCAAGTATTGGGCACCTGTACACTCACAGCGTCCCAGAACGGAGAGAGGCCCTGCCAGGGCACAGCTCTGAGGTGGCTCAGCAGGGTGGGACCCAACCCAGAACTAGCAGAGGCCCCGTGAGGCAGGCAGGTCCAACCCTCCATGTCACCCAAGGGAGCGTGTGTGCACCCGCAGGACATGCTCGAAAAACCCAGGACAGTAACTGAGAGCACAGTCCCCTAAAACACATGGCCTGGGTTCCAGTCCAGGCTCCGCCTCCTTCCTAGCTGTGAGACGTCAGGCAAGTTTCTTAACCTCTCTGTGCCTTAGTTTCCTCATCTGTTAAACGGGCATAAAATGCACCTTCCTCCTGGGCGGTGGTGAGGACGAAAGGAGCGAAGACAGGCCAAGGCCTGCAGTCTCGTATCTGAAGCTCTTTGGACCAGACATTCTAGAAGCTGTGTTTTGGCACCATCGTGGGGTGCGGGGGCAGCGTGCACGTAGCCCTCTGCCTGGGTCTGACAGCATCCCTCCGCAAACGTTACTGTTTCTGCAGCCAAACACCCAGCATTCACACTAAGAGACGCCTACAAGTGGCCGCACGTGCGGTCAGGCCAGATTTCGTCCCCTAATGAGTTCAGTTGGGGTGGGGGTTTGCCACCATCTGAGGGAAACGGCTGTAAGGACTGTAGCCCAGGGCGGTGAGCGCTGAGACCGTGCCGGGCGCGTGGCAGGACCCCAGGCGCCTCGGCCTCCATTCCCCGCTTGCCTCGGCCTTTCCGTTGTTCAGCCGATGAGCAGCCAGGAGAGGGAGCTCTTGAGCGCGGCAGCGGGTCAGCCTGCCTGATCTGCACAGCCTTGTGCCAAATGAAAACGTGGTGCCTTGTTCAAACTTACCGAGAGTTTCTAGAGGCCCAGAGCAGAGCATTAAACCCAACACAGGGCCCGTGTGACTGCACGGACCACGCACCGTGGAGGGGCCCCGGGTGGTGGTACCTTTGTCCTGAGCTGGTTCCTCCGCCCCAGGAGCCCAGGGCCAGTGAGCGGCTGGAGGTGAAGCCTTCCCCACGGGGACCCAGGCAGGAGCTGAGGGCAGGCAGCGAGAAAGATGGGGACAGAGTTGTCCCCATGAGAAGAGGGGCTCTGGGGCAGGTTTCACTCGCTGTTTTGGAAACTAAAGCAGCAAGCAAGTCGTTTCTTGCTCCGATGCTACTGGGCTTACGATGGGGTTACATCCGATAAAATTCAAGAAAATGCATTTAGCCCTGGCTGGTTTGGCTCAGTGGATAGAGCGTCAGCCTGCGGTCTGAAGGGTCCCAGGTTCGATTCTGGTCAAGGGCACCAAAAAAAAAAAAAGCATTTAATAGACTTAAACTACCTATGAGCATCAACCTATGAACCAGGAGGTCAGGGCTCAATGCCCAGTCAGGGCACGTGCCTGGGTTGCAGACTCCATCCCCAGTAGGGAGCCTGCAGGAGGCAGCCCATCAATGATTCTCTCTCATCATTGATGTTTCTATCTCTCTCCTCTCCGAAATCAATAAAAATAATATTTTTAAAAAAAGAAAAGTAACTTCAACTATCAAACATCATAGCTCAGCCTAACCAGCCTTACCTTAGCCTGCAGTTGGGCAAAATCATCTCGCTGCTGCTCCCAGCATCATGAGAGAGTATCCTACCACATATCGCTAGCCGGGGAAAGATGAAAATTCCGAATTGGAAGTATGGTTTCTACTGGAGGTGTATTGCTTTCGTACCATTGTAAAGTCGAAAAATTGCAATTCGGGAACATTCTGTGCACCTCAGTAGAAGGAGTGTGATGCCATACTTAGTCCTCATGTGCTGAGAGCCAGCTGACCCCGCTGGGAACCCAGGCCACATATGCTTCAGTCAAGGAGGGCCCTAGATGGTCAGATTACTCAAGGGAGGAGCCCTGGATTATGAGAGGAGAACTGAGGCCAGGCCCACAGAGCCCCAACATTCAAGGGAGCCAGTGGAAGCAGAGATGGGTGAGGTGGAAGCCAGCTGACCCAGAGTGGAGGCCGCACAGTCCGGGGCTTCTGCAGGGGCTTGGGGGACCCCTGAGCTGTAGCCACTGGGATGACCACAGTGGAGGGGTGGAGGGTGGAGGGGAGAAAGCGGATCAGGACAGACTGGAGACCTGGGAGCCCACGTGAGAGCTGGAGGAGAGACCGACTCAAAAAGAAGCAACTCCTGCCCTGGCCAGTGTTTCTCAGTGGTTAGAGGGTCAGCCCCCACACCAAAGGGTCATGGGTTCGATTCCTGGTCAAGGACATGTACCTCGGTTGCAGTTCGAGCCCTGCCCCAGGTTGGAGCAAGAGGGGGAGGCAACCAGTCAATGTGTCTTTCTCATATCAGTGTTTCTCTCTCTCTCTCTCTCTCTCTCTCTCCCCCCCTCCCCCTCTCCCTCCCTTCCATTCTCTCTGAAAAGCAATGGGGAACACTATCTTCTGGTGAGAATTAACAAAACAAAAAAAGAAGCAACTCCTGAAGAAGGTAACTCATCCCATTACAAGGACAGGAAACCAAGGCTCACGGAGCCCAGTGGAGTCGGGGGGCGCTGGAGGTGAGCTGGGGGTGGCTCCACCGTGCAGGCTCCATGAGGAGAGAGCACTGCACACTTCCTGTGAGCAAATAGATGGGCATTAGCGAGTGTGGAGAGGGTGTGGAGAAATCAGACCCCTCACACGCGGCTGGGAATGGAATGGCAGCTGCTGTGGGAAACAGCCTGCAGCTCCTGGAACTATTCAACGGTTAGCACGTGACCCAGCAATTCCACTCCTGGGTCAATCCCCGGGGGAGTGAAAACTGCGGTCCACACAGAGATTGGTGCACACGTGTTTACGGCAGCACTAGGCATAAGAGCCCAAAAGGGGGCACAACCCAAATGTCTATCGACTGATGAACTGATAAACAAAACGAGCACTGGAATATTAGTTAGCTATAAAAAGAAATCAGTGACGTACTGACTCATGCGACAGGATGGATGAGCCTTGAGAACACGATGGCCAGTGTAGCTCAGCTGGTTGGGCGTTGTCCTGGGCACCTAAAGGTCACCGGTTCAATTCCCAGTCAGGGCACATACCCAGGTGTGGACTCGGTCCCCAATACGGGGTGTGCAGGAGGCAGCAGGATTGATGTTTTGCTCTCACATCAGTGTTTCTCTCTCTCCCTCTCCCTTCCTCTCTCTAAAAATCAATTAAAAAAGAGAATATGATACTAAGTGAAAGAAGCCAGTCACGAAGAACCACATATTGAATTATTTCGTTTATATGAATTATATAGAGTAGCTAAAACATGGAGGCAGGGAGGATGGGAAGATTGGGGGGATAACTAAGGACCATAGGGTTTCTTTTTAGGGTGATAAAATTTTTCTAAAAATTGTAATGGTTGCACGACTCTGAATATGCTAAAAGGCCATTAAATTGCACACTTTTTTAAAAAGTTCTCACCTGAGGATATTTTTTCCGTTGAGTTTTAGAGAGAATGGAAGGGAGGGAGGGAGAGAGAGAGCGGGAGAGAGAAACATTGGCATGAGAGACAAATCGATGGGTTGCCTCTCGAAAGCACCCCGACCGGGGCGGGGATGAACCTACAACTGAGGTGCGTGCCCTTGACGGGGAATTGAACCCACGACCCTTCGGGCCACTGAGCAACTGGCCAGGGCTGCACACTGTTGATGAGTGAATATTTGAATATCATCTCAATGAAATCATTACCCCAAAAATAAAAAGGGTTCATCACAGACCTTAATATTAAAGCAATGCAGAGAGAATGTTACAGAAGCAGGAAGTGGGAACTGCTGGTCCCTTAAGTCCTGGCCCAGAAAAGGCACAACCTCACTTTTGCCATGTTTGATTGGCCGAGGCAGTGGCAGGCCCGCCTGGATTCAAGGGCAGGGAAGGGGGAAGGGTCTGACCAGCATGAATCCACCACACCCACCAACAGCAACAGGAAGCCCTCACCACGGCGGGGTGCTATGGGTGACCCCATTGTGCTAAGGGGAAGACAGGCCTAGGGAGTTAAGTAATGTGCCCAGGGTTGCCCAGCCAGCGGGAGGCAGAGCCCACCCTGAACCTGGGCTGTCTGTGCTCCTGACCTCCTATTGTGCCGCCTTCTTGGCCTGTGAACGTCCCAGAACACAGCTTCACCAGTAAGTAGCCTGGCAGTACTTGTCTTACTCACTTAGCGAGCACTTCTTACGTGCTAGGCACGGCCTGCAAATGACAATGCCACTTCCTTTAATCCTCAAACCTAGTAAGGCGGCCTGTTAGCTCGGACCATGTGCAATGGGTAAGGTCAGAAATGGGCACTTTCAGACGTTTCAGCTAATCATCCGTTTAATGGGTGAGGAGCCTGGGATTCAGAGAGGTGAAGTGACTTGACTAAAGTCACACAGTGCCAGTGAGGGCCGGACTGGGACTCGGACCCAGGCCTGAAGCGCCCGAGGATGAGAGAGTGAGTGAATGCTTGTATGACCTGGTGGGGGAGGAGTGAGACCCAGCGGAGTGCCCAGCCATCCCTCCTGACCTGGGTCCCTTCTCCCCCTGCAGCCAGCATGGGGTCCTGGACCACTCGCCCTTCCTTCTCCACCATCTTTTTCTTCGTCGTCTTTGTGGTGTCTCTCATCTTCCACTGCCACCAGCGCCTGGCCCTGGTGCCCGCCCCCTGGGCCTCCCGCGGCCTCGTGGCCCTGGGCCCCAGGCACCTCCCTGAGGGGGGCATGTGGACCATCAACTCCCAAGGCCGCCTGGGCAACCAGATGGGCCAGTACGCCACGCTGTACGCCCTGGCCAAGCTGAACGGGCGGCCGGCCTCCATCCCCGCCCAGATGCACAGCGCGCTGGCGCCCATCTTCCGGATCTCCCTGCCGGTGCTGCACGGCGCCGCGGCCAGCAGGATCCCCTGGCGCAACTACCCCCTCAACGACTGGATGGAGGAGCAGTACCGCCACCTCCCCTGGGAGTACGTGCGCCTCACGGGCTACCCCTGCTCCTGGACCTTCTACCACCACCTGCGCCCCGAGATCCTGCGGGAGTTCACACTGCACGACCACGTGCGGGAGGAGGCGCAGCGAAGCGTGCTGGCCGACCGCGGGTACCTGCGACAGGCCCTGGACTGGTTCCGGGCCCGCCACCCCGCCCCCGTCTTCGTGGTCACCAGCGATGACATGTCCTGGTGCCGGCGGAACATCGACAGCTCCCTCGGGGACGTGGTGTTCGCGGGCAACGGTCGCCAGGGCTCCCCCGCCAAGGACTTTGCGCTGCTCACACAGTGCAACCACACCGTCTTCACCGTGGGCACCTTCGGGGTCTGGGCCGCCTACCTTGCAGGAGGGGACGCCGTCTACCTGGCCAACTTCACCCTGCCCCACTCCCGCTTCCGCACGATCTTCAAGCCGCAGGCGGCCTTCCTGCCCCAGTGGGTGGGCATCGCCGCCAACCTTGGGCCGGCTGGAGAAAACAGCCCCTAGCCCTGCACGTGTCCCTCCCTCATCCTCCGGGGACAGGCGGTGTATGGGGTCCAGCACGGGGGCTCAGGATTGGACCCCCAAGTTTGAATCCAGGCAGCTCTGCTTCTCGGCTGGGTGACCTCGACCAAGTGACTTAACCTCTCTGTGCCTTAGAGTGCCACCTGGAAAATGGACGAGATACAGAAGCTACCTCGGCAGCCGCTCCTGAGAACTCGGTTCATTTAGAGCCTGGAAACATGGTGAGTGGGAGCCGAGTTTTGCTCTCTTCTCTGCGGCTCTGGGAGCACAGAGGCCAGATATTTTGCCCTTGCCTCTTGGGAGGGTTTGGCGATGAAGCCATCCTGCCCTCAACTAAAGGGGAGTGGGTGTTTTTGGCAGCTAAGAATTCAGGCTTCGGGTTTAATGGGGCCTTATGAAAACACACTAGAGGCCTGGTGCACCACATTCGTGCACTGTGG